CCAACGGGTCTGAGGGACAGTGACTGGCCCCCTGTTTAAAAAGTTTGAGGACCCCTGCATCTGGAGTTTAGTAGGAAGTTGCTATCTCACTTTTAATGTGTGCTGCCATCTGGTGGCATAATGGCTACTTATTGGGCTGCTAACTGCAAGGTCAGCAGTTCAAAAACACCAGCTGCTTTGTGGGAGAAAGACTAGTCTTTCTACTCCTGTAAAGATTAACAGTGTTGGCAACCCATGAGGGAAGTTTTACCTTATCCTAGAGGGTCGCTATAAGTCAGCACAGACTCACTGGCACTGACGTGGGTGGGGGGAGGGAGTTGCCATTTGGTGGGGCATGTGTACTATGGGCATGTGAAGAAATGGGCCCCCTCGCTCAACCTCAGTGTCCAAGACCCCTCGGGACAGATCCATCCCATTAATTGTATCAAAATCTATATGACTTCATTTCCTTTCATCCAAAATTCTGTCCCTTGCTGAAAACACATGGTTCAGCAGAAAATAATTCAATCTTGAAGGGGTTAAATAAATAATAAAGACATTTTCCAGGATCTGAAAAATTAGCTCTTCATTTGAAAGGATCCGTTAGTGCTAAGCACAGTGTGTGGAAACAGAAGAGAAAGTGCTACAAGATGCAACAAGATTAAAAAAGAAAAAAAGATCACAAGTAAATAACATTATATTTCTTACTAGCAGTATCAGGAGCTCTGGTAGTCCAATGGTTAGGGGTTTGACTGCTAATCGAAAGGTTGGTGGTTCAAATACACCCATGGGTTAAAGACACGTGGTCTACTTTCGTAAAGATTAGAGCCAAGGTAACCCCAATGGGGCAGGTCTATCCTACAGAGTTGCCATGAGTTGGAATGAACGTGATGACAATAGGTGTCAGGTCTTATTCACCACAGCAGATTCAAGGATATGCTGATGCAATGGCTTCAGAATTCTGAGGGTGAATCTGCTCCCAGTCAATCTATCCTTCAGAATCAAAGACCAAATGAAGATATTTTCAAATGCACAACGATTTTGAAAGAATTAGTAGAGGATGTATTCCATCAAAAATAAAATAAAGGATCTAGAGGAAAGCTAGTACATAGGAGAAGCCGTCATGAACAAAGAAACAAGGTTCAACACCGGCCTGGAACTGATAAAGAGGAGCTGTTACTAACGGCCTCAAGAGGAGAGAAAGTGTTTTGAAAATGGTGATGGACGTCTGTACATCTGTTCCCATGATATAATTGATTTATGGATAGCTCCAATAAAATGCTATATTAAAAAAGAATAATTGCAGCCTAGATCTAAACCACTGGGTGATTACACTGTGCAATGAGGCTCCACAGGGAAGGGACGGTGGCAGAGAGAACTACACCAAAACCTCACTGCCGTCGAGTCCATATCCACTCAGAGTGGCCCTGTAAAGAGAACAGAAGGAGCTCAAGTTGCTGAGCTGCGGATCTTGTGGGAGGAAAGGATAGATCAGCAGATTCAAGTTAGGTATAATGGAAAAATATACCATCTTATGTAGTTTGGGATTTTGAAAAAAAAACAAAAACAAAAACACACCTAAAGTCTAGGAGGAGGGCACAACCTGGAAAACCAGGAACATAAAAAGTAGAACAGGACATGTGACCAACCCAACACAAGGCTGGAAAACTGAGAAAGGAGCGCAGGAAAACACGGTGATTAATAGCGCCGGGAACAGGAGGAAGACCGGGATGGACGAAGACGACGCATACATTGGTGAAACAGATGGCTGAGAAAAGTGAATGGACAAAATCTAACACGGCTACCGAGCATTAGAATAAGTAAAATGTATGTGTGCTCTTCCATCACAGCTTCTCACAGTCTTGACAACTGAAAAGTTTCCTAGGAAAACATTAACTCCCAATATCGGCAGGTCAAAAATATGAATCGCCAATACCACAGAAGAAAATAATCAAGAAGTAATAGGTCTAGCTCAAAATCTGGTTCTGCCAACGATGAGAAACCTAAAAAGAAAATTAGGAAAACAACGTTCTTTTACGGTAGACTCCAAGAGAATCAAAGATCTAGGAATCAATATTTCCAGAGCTGTGAAAGGCTTCTGTAGAGAAAGCCATAGAACACGCCGGAAGGAGACTAACCCACTGCCATCAAGCCAGTCCTGACTCACAGCGAGCCCGGGGCACACGGCCTCATCGTTCTTCTACAGAGCAGGTCGTGGACTTAAACTGCCAGCCCACAGCACCACCAGGGCTCCTTGAAGGAGACGGAGGATGACTGCCATGGATTAATGATGTTCCATGCTCATGGGCTGGAAGACTTAAGAGACTCAAGATGTCAAAACTACTCAAAACAGTCTACAGATCCTGATCATAATTCCAAAAGTAGTCTTTACAGAAATGGGAAGAAAAAGGAGAAGGAGATGGAGAAGAAGAAAACGAATCCTTTATGGTCTACGGAAAGCCAGAGATCCTCAGAGGCAAAGACATTTCGAAGCAGAACAAAGTAGTTCACACTTCCTGACTTCAAGACAAAATTTACTGCTACAGAACTGAAACAGCCAGGTACCCATTTAATAACAGACAGCAACACGGACCATCGGGATGAAATTGGAAAGCCCAGAAATAACGCCAAACATCAATGCTCAGTAGATCTTCCAAGAGGGAGCCAAATCTATTCAACGAGAAAAGAATAGTCTCTTCCACCACTGGTGCTGCAAAACTGGATTTCCACATGCAGAAAAAACAGACAAGATATCGGCTTTCTGTGTGTTAGGTGCGACTCATATGGAAGTTTGCTTTTAATCTTCATTATTAAGTGCTCGGAGGCCCTCTGTTTCCGTCGTCACGATTGTACCAGCTGCATCTTGCATGCTGTCGATGTAAACTGGCTGGCGTCACCCAAACTGAAGTATCATGATGAATTAGCTTGCTATCTAACGTGGGGTTAATGAAAGGACTGTCCTTCCTGCTGTGCACACGGAGAAAGAAACGGAGACGATTAAACCTCTTTACCCGTCATGACAGCTCAAACCAGAAGTTAAGCTGGGAAGAGAGTCCAGCCCTCCTGCCCAGGGGACCAGCAGGGCCTCCACCTTCCCAGTTAAACCTGGGGCTCCTGTGTCAGCCAGATACCCAGGAAAACCAGGTCAGGAAATGATGCGAGGCTTCAGTCACCTGGCCTCTTCCTCCATCTCTGCCAAAGATCATCAGAGACACCTTGAACATTCAACATGTGCTTCCCAGAAAGAAAACGTAATTATCTTCGGGATGAACTTCTGTCCTTATTCAAGGGCAAATGCTTTGCCCCAAGAGCTGCCCCAGCATCTGGAACAAATAAGAGCATGTCCAGTCCACCCACCCCCTGCAGCCCACATTGGTCAAGGTTTTCTATAGGGAAATGAGCTGTGAATTGGAAAACATTTTCAAATGCCTCAAAGCAGCATCTCGAGACATTTGATCTTTTAATGGGCTCTAAATGGCCTCCAAAAAATCAAAATCTGGCCAAGAACAATGAAGAAGGCCAGCTGGGACAAGAGAAGAGGGCTTGGTGCCTTTTCAGATGCAATTCAAAACTCCCTTTCTCACCCAATCACGCGTGGTTCGGGGAATTCCTGGAGTCGAGGTTCCTCTCTGTCCACCTGGCCTCTCTCTCAGCGTCTCAATGTCCTGAGCATTTATTTAGCTTCTCTGGCGGGTGGCACTTCACCACCACTAACGTCACCCCTGGCCACTCCTGACCTGACTGGGTGTGCAGTGATGGGTGACCACTGCGCTGTGGGCCACAGAACCACTTAAGGCGCGTCCCTTCGACAAGGTGGCCGACCTTGGCCCCGGTAGGGCTGGCCTTTGCGAGTCTGAGCAAAGAGAAGGCTCTGAGCAGCCGTGGTCAAGAAGGGGAGAATTGACGTGGTCTTTGGACATTATCTCGGCGATGCTTCCGCATCACAGACCAACGGCAAACTCACTCCAAGGAAAGGTCAGGGGCTAAGGACCCACACTCCTGCAGGAGCCCTGTGCTTGGGAGAAGAGGCCCATGCCGGCTGTCAGAAAAAGAAATCCCTAGAGTAGGCCTCCATCCCAGGTTCGGAGGCCTGGTCCCAGGGCCGTTTTTTGCCGCATCGAGGATGTCTTTAAGGCATGGCCAAGTAGTGAAATCGTTACTGTGGAGTCTTTCACATTAACGATCGCTTTAAAAAATCGTGTCACTCTGAGCCAGAGGGGCCTTCAAGACGACCCTGGCCCATGCACCAGAGAACAACTATCTCAAACCACCTTTGATGTTGCCTGCCACCCAGAGAAGATGCTATTGAGGCTACCCCTTCTTCCCCAAGCCAGGCACTGGCAGCACCCCCAAATCTCAGGCTTGGCTGCAGCGACTCAAGATCAGGTTCTCCCCTGCCCCAAGGCGACAAGTCTCACATCAGAGCTTTGTCTTGGAGCTTGGTCTCCAACTGCTCGTGGTCTCCTTCCTCCCTCTCCGTGGCCTGAGCGCTGAGTCTGACCGCCCATCCCAGCCAAACGCTGAGTCGCCCCAGCACGTTCCCTTACACTCCACTGGATCTGCCCGCTTTCCTGGACACTGGTCAACCATCCGCACAGCCCACAGGGCACCTCAACACACACGATGCCGAGGGATCTCGTATGTAACCCCTCGATTCCCACCCCCAAGTCACCCCTCCGTCTTGGTGACCAGCTCCACTGTGCTCCCTCCCTTTCCCAGCAACCCCCAGACTCTGCCTTCTCCCTCCCTTCCAACAGCCGGCTCACTGTCAACCCAGGTAATTCTACTTCCCAGCACCCTTCCATCTGTCTCCCTTCCCCTGCTCCCCCCTCTTCTCCCATCACCCTGATCCGGGCATTGTCATCTTTCACCACGCAGTCTCGGGCATTGTCATCTTTCACCACGCAGTCTCGGCTCCTCCTGGTCCCCCAAACTCTCACTCTGCCTCCTACCCATCTCTCTTCCAAGTGTGGCCCAAGAGTACGTCCTAAAACACACATTGGGTCATGTTGCCGCCCCTCTTGAGACCCTTCTGTGTTAGTCTGGGTAGACTAGAGAAACAAATCCACGGACACACATGTGTGTATAAAAAAGAGACTTATATACAAGAGCAATTGAACATTGAGAAAACATCCCAGCCCTGTCCAGATCCAATCCATAAGTCTGATATTAGCCCATATGTCCGATACCAATCTATAAAGTCCTCTTCAGACTCATAAAACACATGCAATGACGCCAAATGTAGAAGCTCACAGGCCAGTGGGGTAGACAGTCTTTGGATCCAGTGGCATTGGAAACCTCTCAGCGCTGGCAGGGGTCTCTGCATCGGGGTGGGTGCATGTGTCTTGTCAGCTGCTATGTCTCCCAGGGTGTGAGCAGAGAGTCTCTCCTGCCTCCAAGGTGAAATCCCAGATTTCCCAGGATTCTTAGGAGAAGGCCATGCCCACACAGAGGCCTCATTGGCTAGATTTGACTGACAGGCTAGACTCCACCCCTACAGTCTTAATCCTCAAATTGACAAACGATTAAATAACTACCACACCTTCCTTAACTCCCCGGCACACACAGGGTTAATGCCAAGCTCCCCACCCATGTCCCTTGTGCCCTTTCCACCACCTTCCACCTTAACCATTCATGCTGCCATGCTGTCTGATTCCACTCATTCTGTTCTTTCTGCCTGGAATGCTATGCCACTTTCCTTTATTTCAGTGGTCCTCAACCTCCCTAATGCTGTGACCCTTAAATACAGTTGCTCGTGTCAAGGTGACCCCCCAACCATAAAATTATTTCCGTTGCTACTTCATCACTGTCATTTTACTGCTGTTATGAATCGGGCGACCCCCTGTGAAAGGGTCATTCGACC